AAAGCACGTGCTTCTTTCTCTCTTTGCAAGATGACAGCTCCCACAACAGCGAAAGTACACGTGTCGGACGAAAGTTTGCCGTGAGAAATCTCAACAAAGATTCGCGTAGCAATGTCATCTCCTCGTGGTAACGGAATACGACGGATTTTTCTCACGGACGCGAGCTTCCTAACACAAGGGATAACGAACGAATGAACCAACAGACTACAGCACACGCGGGTAAGATTTGATGATTTCAAGAAGGTCGATGAAACCCAGTTTCCTAGATGTTTTAAAATGTTAAGAACTGTAATGAAAAAAAAAAAAAAAAAGAATCGCAAAATCCTTTTGCGCCCCCCTTTATTTTAGGATATCTGGACTATTGAGACTTAAAATATTTGCTAGGACCTTAAAAATGTTTAATCGAACACTGTCTAAATAGCTGATTAAAAACTAATCCCCAGCCGCAGACCATCCTGAATCCCCAGCGTGATCGCGCTCTTACTTTTTAAATTGAAAAAAACCCTCAAGATCTGACCATTTTACATTTGATGTGTTTTTGTATTCTGCTGAATTCAGCGTGCTCAGTGTTATTACTTCTTGTGAATGTGCACCGACAACTGATTGGTGGCGGAAAGAATCGTGTTTTACTAGAAAATAAACCTTCCATTAAACTTTTTATTTTCATTCTTACTTTTATTCCTTTTTAAAATTATTTATTTATTTTGTATAACGGATTGTTGCAAAAGTTGAATAATAATAATAACGGTTAAAAGAGTGACGAATAACAGAGTTGCCACTGCAAAAATTTATAAAACTAGACAACCACGCATTTATGAGTATTGTGTTTAGAGAAGGCGAGAAGAAAAGAGCTAAGAGCAATAGTCACGATATTTAAAAGTGCAACGAAGACAGCAATAAGTTTGCTTCACTTTACACTCTCAGTTTTTAAAAAATTCAGCACTACTACCTTACTTTTCCCCGAATGCGTAACAAAACTTTCCATCTTCATTCTTCCCCTTCCTCCTTCCCATGGAGGTAATCCTACCTCCATGCTCCTCATGGAGGTAGGAAGTAAGAAGGAGTCGCCCTAAACAAGTTTCTCCGTACCCTTCTCTGAAGCACCGGCGATCCCTACGTGGTGACCAAAACATTGGGTCATTTACCATTGAGTTCTATGGGATTTTACGCGTTCGGGTGTAAATATTTTGTAATTACGTCGCAAATATACATATAAATGTATATATTTTCTTTTTCTACAACACTTCAGAGTCCTAAGTATGTGAAAACAACATATTTTTAAACAACATTTCATTCTGAACGGAAATTAAATGCTATACTTTTCACAGGACAGTTTTCTCAGAATGGTTTAATTTGAATGAAATATTTTCACAAGTTTTCGTTAATTACATTAGAAAAAAAAAATTAAGGTAATTCTATTTTATTCGGTTAAGGTACAAAAATTAAGATCAAAGTTTATTGTATTATTAATATTAAAATTATGCATTATTTCTTTTCTATTTATAGAGCTTCTTCCTAAAATACTTCTTCTAAATATGACAAGATTTTTTTTGGCTTCTTTAAATCGAAAAATGTAAGTCAATTTATAATTAATGCTCTATTCGGTTCATTTTAAATTAGAGAATTATTAGGAATTAGCGAAATACTTTAAATAAGTATTTCGCTAATTCCTAATAATTAAATATGTATTAAACAGTATTTGACTTTCTCTGAACATTTCTGAAAGGGAATAAAATAAGTTTTTTTTTTTTTTTTTTTTTTTAAGTATTATTATTTAAAACTTGTAACTGAGTTATTATAAAATGTAAAGGGAATAATTCTTTTAATTATACTTATCAGATTTTTTTTTTACCCTTCATTTCAACAATACATATTCCAAAACTCTTTATTACGTTCTTAAGTGCGCATCTCATAGCATTTGCTTTACAATACCTTTTAACAGATTGCTTTCCAATGCGAACAATTCTTGCTTAAATAGTTTTATAACGTATTTGTCAACAGGATTTCAATTTATGTTTACAATTCAATATTAAGGTTATTATATACTTAGATAATATTTATAATCATTATAAATTAGATACATTTAATCATTAGATTTCTTCACAGTACTTTCACAGTTTTTTATAAGTGAATAAATTCTTCATTTCAAATACATTTATAAATAATTTAATGAATATTTAAGTATTTTGTCAAAGGCAGATACATGCTTTTTGCAAGCACATGCATAAATACCCATACATATTTCCTATTTATCATTTCCGGCATGTGCAAATCTTTAATTTCTGTGCATTCACTATATTTTTCGTGTAAAGTAATTTACACTAATTTAGCATACACCCGAAAGTTTACATAAAAAATATATATGAATATAATTTGAATGAAAATTATAAGTATTATTTTTAATACCCACTCAAAGGTCAGTTTTTCTTCAAAATTCCTCCACGACGACATCTCTCTCTTTAGGCAGATAGCCCTTGCATGCGTTACTCTATTTAATAAAATCTTAATCTGACCTAGTGCCTAATTACAAATATTTTAACATACATAATTTTATATTTACATTTAGCCATCAAGTTTCAAACTTTTCAAATTTTCTAGAAAATAAATTTTGGCAGATCTCTTTTAGCAATTTTCTTAAAATCTATATTTTTGTAGTGCAACAGCTTAGAATTTTATAAAACAAATTCATAATCAAAATCGCTGTTGTTAGTTATCGAAAATAAACCAAGATGTGATTTTTGCGTAAATGTCAGTAAACTATACAAATTGCTATTATCCATCCCACTATGAATGTTTCTTTCATGCGAGAGTGTCCCTTTTTCGATTTCTATGGAACTGTCGTGTGTCGAAATACTTCCAGAATCTTGTCAAGCGAGCTTCTGAATGTAAACAAATAACACCCCGTCTGGTGACCCAAGCTTCAAAGCAGTGCTTCACTTCTAGCGCGGAATGGCCCCTCTTCCCTTTCCTACCTCCATGATGCTCCTTCCTTTTTTCCCCCCTCCAATAGTCGAAACAGCCAAAGAATCCCTTAGTTCAAAAGTATCCAAGTCATCGACTCAGAACGGAAGGTTAAGTGGAGAAAATGTTAGGTGGATCTACACTGTTACAAAGAAGGAAGAAGCGAAATAACAGCTCCCTGGAAACTGAAAAAAAGGAACATGATTTCGAGAGGGTGCTGATCAGAGGTGGACGTTCGAAGTGATTTACGATAAACTTTTCCAGCGCTTTCTCAAATAAGCCACTTCTGCACACTGTCCCCAAGAACATCCCGCCGTTATTTGAAGATAACCAACCGAAGCTTTAATGTGAATTCGAGACAACAAACAGAATTTTTAAGAATATCAATGACCTTTTTCAAAAGCTGTGTCTTCGATAATGTTGAATAGAAATATTAAAAGCAGAAAATTGTGATGAATGCCATCAGTTATGAAGTTCCACGTAATCAAATTCTTCACTAAAAAGCAGCAAAAAGAAAACGAGGATGTTGAAGTTTTGAAGTTTAACTTACATCACTACTGCCAACATATAATGAAAAATAAAATTAGACACCTAAAATAAATTAAGAAAATTATCGAAGAGAGAAAAAATACCTTGGTCCATACTTAAATTCCATCCTTGAATATTAAACAATAAGATATTTTTAGGCATTGGAAAATGAATATAACTAAAATAATATAAATAAAGAAATATTTCCGAAAGGATTTAAGGAAATTACCTAAAGCAAAACAAAAAATCAGTCCATATTTAAATGTCCACTAACGGACCAATGGTTAAAACCGCTGAACACGCGTTGTTCGACGTGAGCTAGGTTAGAACCTCGACTAGCGCAGTGGCTGAGTGGCTCTTATCATGGTTTACATCATGTATAACGTAAATACGAGTCACTGTCTATCCAAAAGTCCTCCACCGTATTCATTCATTAGGTATTCCTTTCATTCAAACTATTCCTTTCATTAGGCAGATAGTCCTCGTGTACTTTGCTTATTCAAATAACCTAACATAACCACACTTAATTTTTATCCTTTAATTCCTCACCTATAACACTTTTTTATGTACTAAAAAATAACATAACGTATACGTAAAACAATGTAAACAAATTATTCAAGAAACAAGGGAAAAAATTTGCTCGAAGGAATCGAATTTAAACACTCTTACTTCGATTCTTTGCCCATGCGCTATAGAAAAGCTCTGCAATATGATGCTTCCCTCACTATACGGCACTTCAGATATATTTACCTCTCACAGAAATGAAACTATACAAACTACTTTATTTTTATCATTAAAACTCGGTACGAAAAGCATTCAAACCTTATAAATCGGAAGCCAAATGCATCATTACTCTTAAATTAGCATGTCTTCTAAAATTTAAAAATTTAAAATTTATTGGAGAAAAATTTTTAAAAATTTAAAATTTATCGGAGAAAACGGTTTACAAAAAAGCATGTATCTTACAATCCAGCTCATTTTTTTTTATCTAATGACCCAAATAGCTCACTAGAGGTTATTTAAGAAATAAGAGACGCGATAGAATAGAAATAAGTTACATAATAATAATAATTATGTTCAGTTCACTTAAATTTCGCAGTGATAAATTTGATTTGAAATGCGTTATTATTAGTAACCCACGGTTTTATTTTTAGTCATACATCACTAAGAATATTGTCATAGCTAAAAAATTATTTTTTCTTTTTAATGCATTTAAGCATAACAATGTAAAATGAGAGTATTTGTATATAGGGTGTCCCTGAAAAAAGTCGTCAAATACTGGAAACTCTGGAAGTACATTCTATGACTAAAGATAAACAAGAAATGTCCTACGAACATATTACTTGAAACAGTTTACTTCTAACGAGACGATGAATATCAATAGCAAGCGGATGCATAATATACAGAATGCCAAAAAATAAAGACATGAAACGCCGGCAGTGCATTCGTTTGGCTGGTAATATACCAGCCAAGCTGCAATTGCCTTGGCTGGTTATGTGGCTGGTACATACCGCGAAAAACGCATAGTTACTAGTACCCAGACGCTGAACATCAATGACAAGTAAAGAATGTCCTAAAATAAAGTCACCAAATGGCGGCTGAAGATAAACAATGCCCTATGAATATACATTGGGAAACGCATAGTTATTAAGTTATGGGACGTTGAACATAGTGACAAGAGGAGAATGCACCTCCCCATGCGGAATGTTGCACAAAATTCTTCTCATGCAGCAGAAGTTCCTGAAGAAAGGATCTGGATGTTTAAGAAATATGTCACATACGAGGAATCAAGATTCAATGGCAAAAGGCGGAAAAAGCATGGAGTTAGATAATAAAGGATGAAATAACCTTCACGAGAAAAAGTAACTAGCCTCCGCAAACTTTTGTTACGGACCCCTAATATCCTGTAACTTGTAAACAATGCATTTCCCGTTATGTGATCGAATAATATCTTTTACTCACTTTCGGCAGCAAAATTCACTCCTGGCATATGATGACTCTGTTCTGGGAAACCCTGTTTGTGTATTTTATATTGTCCATACAAAACATAAATAATAAAGAAAATTACTTCCTCTGAATCAGCGCAGCAAGAAATTATGTAATGTTACGTTTTTTCTTCAAGGTCCTTTGATCTATCCAATAATAACGTTCAATTTATTTAAATTTTTGTTTGATTTAGAAATCTACTTAAAACTACGGGGCTGCTAATAATAAGAGTTTAAACCTAGATTTAAAAATACATCATTATTAGCGGCCGCAAGCTATCTAAAACAAAACAAATGACTTCGGAGAAAACCGCCAAAATATGATAATTATTTGGAGATAAGGAAGAAAATTCATTTGGAAGATTATTTTCCCTGTCTGTTTGTCTGTCTGTCTGTTTGTGTAGACTAGAAATTCTGTGATAACTATTTTAATTACTATGCAAGCATACATGAGAAAAATTCAAGTCTAAAAAAATCTATACTGAATTTTCAAAAAATTCGCTCTATGTTTTCAAGTATTATATTTTCATCCCAAAAATCTATAAGCGCAAAATTTCAAGAAAATTAATTTCATGAGAGGAGGTCAAAACTTAATATCAAATTTTGACTCAAACACGAACAGCAAGAAAGAAATCTAAAAAGTATATATTCCAATAACATGATTGTATGCAAAATAATATTTAATCATCTGTAATCTTTCTGAAATATCTCCCTAAGAGTATCACTTTTATCCGATTTCAATGCGCTGATAAAGAAAAAAGGGGGGTTTACAACAGAAATAATATATATGATGAAGGAGGAGGAAAAGTAATACCAAGTACCTAAATACACGTAAAACAAAGCGCAAAAAAAAAAAAAAAAAAAAAAAGGAATTAATTTAAACTTCATCAAGCAAAAATACTCTTTCTTTGACAATGATTCAACTGCAGCTGCCTTCAATGTAAACGTTAAAATTACTACCAGCGTTTAAATATACATAGGCTATGTTCTATCCATCCTACCCAAATGGTGGGTTGTTATAGCCAAAAAATTATTTTCCCTTTTTAATGCATTTAAATGCATAACAACGATTACCACGAATCGTGTCATCTATTTCTTCAATAAAAGCAGAAAAGAAATTGAATCTATTTGCAAAGCGGAGCTACAGTTACATGCTGCTTAATGTGATCACGGTTAATGTTTTTATCATTCAGATATTGTTGTCGAACTGCCGAAGCCCGACCCATTTGTGTCGAAAAACGGGGAAAATATATCGCTTACTGTGATCAACGATTCGGTTAATATTATCAAAATATTATAGAATAATTTCTTTTTTAAACTGAAGTAAAGCCGAAACAGTTTATAAAGATCGCCAAGTAAGGAATAAAATTGCCAAACAGCTTGGTTTTGATTTTAGTCACCCATTTAAAATTAATTTAAAAAAAAACTTAACGTGGCGTAGATTTTGAATAGCTCTATCGATTTTGAGGATGATCCGACACAGGTCTCTCTTCTTCAAGAGCCAAAATATTTTCGGAGATATTCCCCATCACACCTGCCTCTATTTAAAAAAAATCCATGCTAAACTAAGCTTGATTTTTGTCTAATTTTCAATTTTTTTGCCATACTCTCTTCCAATGAATGAGGGATGTTCTCCGAGTTTTAAGGTTAGTAATATAGCATCGGTCAAATAACTTTCAGAAATGTTATGAAATGAACTTTTGCATTATAAAGCATTCAAAAAGAAGCATTTGCATTTTCCTAATTCAAGTTGCTATGAAACTACTTATTTATATGTTTCTAGTTATATTTACATTAAATTAGCTGTTTCGATGGACATCTCAAAACAGCTGTGGGCAAACGTGAGTCCAATTGAGACGCCAACTGTGTCATGCTTAACTTTCAGTTTTTAATTATTAAATATATGTTTTATGAAATATTCATCAGCAGCATATAAAAATACTCTTCTAATGGTTCCATGTGACTCCAGCTTCGTTGAGTAGAAGTAAGAAAAACAGGGTTTTACTGTTGAAATTTATAATATGATGAATATGTACTAGCATTTTATACACACTAGTAGCAGAGTGGTTGATACCGATACTAGGAAGTTGGCTCCATGGCTGATTTTCGAGACTTTCTTCACGCATATTACGTGAATATGAGCCAGCTTTTTTTCCCTCGAGAAGCCCCGAAAGCATCCTTTCCCCTCGTGTGCTTTGCCATATAAAGATAAACTAACCTAACCTGGCGTATAGATCATATTTTTGCGGGTCCTCTTTTAGAAGCACTTCTATCTAGTTCCCGCCTATTCTTTCATCACTAATGCATTTATATAAGTTATCTTTAAAATGTGATTTAAACAATTTCCAAGTAATTCAATTGACTTTTGAATTAATTTCCTTTTAAATTTAATGGAAACTCCCGAAAAAGTGCGTTTGCAATACAATTATCTAATGGCGCACTATTTGCTAACTTTTGCAATTTTTTTAAAATCTCTTTCATCATAGCAATAACTGAGCGATATGAGTTATTAAAAAAATCTTAAAAATAACTCGGTTCGTTATTTTTTTAACAAATCTTTTCAGCTCGAATTACTGGTTATGCAAGTCCTCGAGAGACACTGAAAAAAATCTGTCGGTGAAAAATATAAGCGTGAAATAATTAAGAGTTTCAAAGACATTTTTTAATTAAAATCGAAAGTTTAATGAAGCTGAGACAAGTAATACAACTCGATACTTTTTTCCTTCCCACATGATGGATATTAATTTTCTCAGGAAATCTCAGAGGTATAAATAAATCTGCAAAATTTTCAATTTCCTTTCATCACCTTTTTTTAATGTTTTTGACGCTTAGGAAAAAAATTCTTTAAATAATATAACAGAACTGTGAAGGAGTTGCGTGACTCAAGTAGTAAAAAAAGACATTTAAGGAAGAAAGCTTGGGAAAAGAACATAATGAGGAAAGCGATAAAGAAATTCTCAAAAATCAACAGGATTTGGGATTAGTTAATTGTGGCAAAACACGCAAAGGGCACACTGATTAGATCATTCAAGTCTGGATCATTCGAATGAGAAGTATCGCTTGGAGAGCAGTAGCGTCTCACCTCACCTTGACTACTTTGTTTTTCACGGGATCTCAGCACCGGAGAGGAAAAAAAAAAAATCAGATAAGAAAGTAATGCTATTTCAAATAGAATGCTTTGTCGACTTCCCTTCATGACTTTGTCAGTCTTCTATCTTCGCCTCTGGGTGATGCAACTGCACCTTTAATCAAAAAAATTAAAGAGAATGGCCGTAAGGCGAAAATTAAAAATTACTGGTGAAATCCCTCTGTAGTTTTAAACCAGCTGCAAAGTAATGATCCAAGAGCGAAGGACACCTATCTAAGAAATGAATGCCTTTATGAATGATTTTATAAGATAAACTAATACTTTTTTAAAGTCGCATACTTCCCCGTGTTAAACATGAAAACTCCATGCAGCTACCCTCGTTCAGATTTCCGACCACCAGCGACGAGCGGCAAAACCGCTGAACATTGGTAGTTCGACCGGGTTCGAGTCTCAGCTACATGCGAGTCTTTATGGTTTCCCTCATTTGTAACGCGAATGCGAACCAATTTCCCTTAAGAAGACCTCCACTGAGGCATTCTTAGAAAAATAGCCTTCCTGTGTTTTGCCATAATTCCAAATAAACCAAACTGTTCACTTTCTGAGAACTGAACCTAAGATAAGCTACTAGTGGTTCGTGGCTCAAGGCCCCTTGGCCACTGCTACCTTAAAATCAGGATGAGAAGACACTAAACTGTAAATATTTCTCAAACTAATTTTTTTAAACAACGCATGAATATTACATAAAAAGAGGCTGGTCTGAATAAGAGTATTCTGATTTTGACCAGTGTGTAACAGCTGTCTTCCCAAGATACCTTTGGGGAGGACATTTTAAGGAAAAAATGGATAATGGACTTAAAGGGACATTAAAGGAGATAAATTAAAATATTTCTTAAAAGGAAAAGTAAGATATTTATTGTCAGTAACAAAATATGATTGCCTGAAACTGTACACAAGTATCTTTAACTTTCTTTCGGTAGACTATAGGTACAGCTTCTCAGGCGAAATATATATCATTTTGCAGGAACTCAAACTCAGCTAAAACATGATTTTTTATATTATATTATTTATTTTACATTTCCCATCTGTACTGAGCACACAGCCGTAATATGAATCGCTCAGTAGCGGAGCGAGCCTTTTTCTTGTGAAATGAGTTTTGGCAAAGGATCAGAAATTGCCGACTCCAGAGCTCTTTGTTGTTTTAAGCAACGAGTAACAAGAGTTTGTTCAACCTTCTCACCGAGGATCAATGCTACATTTTCCAGCTGCTTCTCAAACTGAAACTTCAACAAGAAATCATTGGCATAAGTAAAAAGCTGGATAATTCGCTACAGTTCCGCATCCCAGCCAAAATCTTTGTCGACGATATTGTTTAGGAGTAACTCATATCTAACCACACACTTTCTTTTTGTACTAAATGTACTCTAATAAGCGTAAAATAATATTTAAATTCAAGCGTAACGAAAAACCAGTTGGAAACACATTACAAATATAATATAGTTTTGGTGTCTGGAAACAAAATTTTTGCTCTTCCTTCTTCGTCTGTGCAAATTTTTAGTGTGATTGAAGCATTAAATTCAAGAATGAAATTCAGAACAATACAAAATTCTAAAACAAATTTGGCTGCATTTTATTTTTATGTGGCATTTTAAGCGAATTCATATTACTGGATTTGAAATGCTGTAAAACAGCTGCACAGACATTGATAAATAATGAGGTAAAAGCAAATGCACAGACACTGGTAATCAACGGCTTCATATCCTTGTATTAATCTTTATATGTTTAAAAAAATTGTAATACCGTATATTTAAGCCCAAAAATCTATAACTACAAATGCTTTTTTTTAACTATTATTATTATTAAACTAACAAAATTAAACTAATTAAATTAACAAAACTGTGAGATAATACCGCTCAAATTCTCAATGTCCTCATAAGTTTCTTCATTTTTATTCATTTATTACTATTATTATTATTAAACTAAACTCAATTTGGCCCATTAGGGCGCAAACAGCCCTAATGGGCCAAGGCCTGCAGTGCCCCGAAATCTGTTTTCTTGACCGTGGGCCCCGGGGTGCGTAAGTATATGCTCTGAACAAGTGGTCAGCTTGGTCGCAGTGCCAAGTTCGCTCGGGAACCCCCCCCCCCAGTGTTTAGTCCCTAAGCGAACTTGGTACTCATTTTATCGACCCAAGATATGAAAGGCTGAGTCGACCCTGCCCAGCCCGGGGTTCGAACCCCGGACCTGTGGTGCTGCTGCGCGATGCGCTAGCCACTGCGCCACTGGGCCTATTATTATTATTATTATTTATTATTATTCCTATTATTTATAATTACTATTATTTATTATTAATATAATATTTACTATTTATCTCTCATGGAAACACTTTTTTTCCTATTCGAATCGAAAGTCAAGATATAATTTATCGTGCACCCAATTGACTCGGCTAGTGAATTATTATGTCAAAGAGAAAAAAAATGCCAAGCGGAAATTTAAAAAAAAAATCATACTGGACAAAACAATCCTCTAATTTTGCGTTAAGTCCCAATAAGCGTAATGCCCGCACTTTTCCGTCATTACTTTTCATGCAGACTTTCGGAGTTGTTTTCAATAAAATTAAAAACTCATTTTCATAATTGAATTCGCTGTGCTTCATGTACTCAATAATCATGCATAAAAATATATCTTTTACGCTTTAGATAATTAATAATACATTCGTCTGAAGATTAAAACAATTATTACACAAGTTCTATAAAACAGAAAATTTCTGTTGAAATGAAGCCTTTAAAGACAAATAAGACAAAGAAGACAAATAAGGGGGGATTAATCTTGGCAGAATTGCTCAAAGGTTAGATTGCGGGGGGATGACAATTTTTGCATCATTAGTCACTCCAGCGCTGCTGGAAGTTTATGTAATTAAGTTACTCTAAGACAAGCATCTAAAGTTTCGGTCTTCTGTAGACGTGGTCATTTTATAAAAGTGATGTCCAATACAGATGTTTACCTTTTCAGAAATATAGTTTTCTTTCAGATGTTGTGGTGTGGATGGATGAAGAAGACTTCAACAGAACTGAATACGTAGAATTGAAATACGTAGACATTTGTTACTACGTATTTCAAGAATGGTTTGGTTTATTAGATTATGGCAAAGCACGCTAGGGCTATCTGCCTAGGAAGAGGATGCTTTCATGAAGGGCTTTCTGAGGGAAACTGGCTCGTATCCACGCTATAAATGGGGGAGAACACAAAAACGCCCATGCAGTCAACCCGTTCATCTAGAAACGAATCCAAGTCAAACTATCAGTGTTCAGCGACTTTACCGCTTCGCTGCTGGTGGGCCTTCGTATTTTAAGAAGCGTTAAATAGTAGCAAATATTTTGCACATAACTTATTTCATTAAAAATATATCTTTTCGACATAGGCCTAATATTCGTTTGATAATATCTTAGAGTTCCAGCTTGTTTCTCGGTATATTATTTTTTTACTTTTCCACATAAGCGTGAAACATTGTATTTGATTTATAGCAATTTCAAATACACTTCAGACAGGCCTGCGTTTAATATTTATGCTTTAAATGGCGTCATGTAAACACCCAAATGTAAAAGCCAAGCCCTATAATAAACTTTATCAACATGCTTTCAAAATTTTCTTTAAAATGCCAGCTGAGAAATTTTTTTATAAAGATCACTAAAATTAGCCTGTAAAACAGAATGTCCAAAATATTCAGTATGTTTTAGATTATATTCCTCTTTCTCCAGACAACGACTTGTCTACAGTGCATTTGAAATTGATATAAATCAAATACAGTGCCTCTCATTTATGCATAAAAGTAAAAAAAATAAAACAAACATTCCAAAGACAGAATCCGTCTGCATAACATCTAGTTACTTTTTTAAATATCTGGAAGAGAAAGAAGATCGTTAAACAAAAAATAATTAAAAACGCTGCATTCATAAACAAACTCTTTTGATCAGCACTTAAAAATAAATTTTAATCGTAACATCAAGCAAACAAAGTTGTTTTAAGCCACAGGCAGGTAAACGAAAGTTAATTTAAAATTAAACATGTCTGGTAAAAAAGGATATTAGCCAAAATAATAGAAATGGGGCTTTTAAAATAAAAATCATTTAAGGAAATAAGAAAATGTGCGGATGAGGAATTTTCCATCATGTTCAGAAAGAAAATAAATAGAATGATTAATTCAATTCACAGAAAACTGAAAACGTTTTGTAAAATGTGTTTCCCAGTGTTTCCTTCTCTTCCTACAACGTTAATTTCAATTTCGTAAATACTGCAGCATTAAAAATCAGATCTGAAAATGTACAGTACTTATAACGATTTACGCAAATCGTAGTAATAAAATTCTTTTCAGCGTTCTGAACATGATAAACAAAAGAAATATCTCTCATTGTTACTTTTTTGAGTTCAGTAAGCAAAAAATTAAAGCATTATTAATATGATGTAAATAATACTGAATATAAGATTGGATGGAACAAACAAAGCGGAACAAATAAGATAAAGCACGTTTAAGAACCGAAGTGAAATGTAATTCAACTTTCTGCTAAGTAAAATTAATTTTTCTTTTCATCACTTTACACGAACTCCGTAAAGTATACTAATAAACTTCCCTGTCTGATTCAAATTACGCAAAGGTTAAAAAATTCGGGAATCTGACACTAGCGAAACTTTTAATTTGACTGCACAGTATTTTGATTCTAAAATAATTTAAGATAACTTATGCTAATACTTTTTTATAAAACGAATGAATTTTGGTCCAAAATGCGCTGAAACAACAGTTTTAAACAAGAGAGAGAGAATTACTTTTCACCTCCTCTACTTTAGTACGGATACTCATATAATAAAAGGTAAATCATAAATCAGTCGATAATGAAATGTTTTATTTTAAAGCTTCTTCTGAGCTTGTAGTTATTTATATGGAAGATTGAGACGTGGCGATGAGTGATCCGACTATCTACCCGGAACCAGAAGTTAGTTCTGAAATATATTCAGGTTCAGTATAAGTTCGTTACCACAATAACAGAAACCTTTATCAATACATTTTTTTAAAAGAACAGTTTTCGTAATCATAAAAGCCCACCAGCGGCCGAGCGGTAAAGTCGCTGAACACTGGTAGTTCGGTCCGAAGTTCGAATCCCGCGAACGGGCTGGCTGCATGGGTGTTTTCGTGTTTTTCCCCACGTGTAACGTGTATACGAACCAGTTTCCTTAGAAAGTCTTCCACGGAGCCATCCCTCCCCTTAGGCAGATAGCCCTAGTGTGCTTTGCCATAATTAAATACACCACACCACACACCGTAATCATAAAAATAAATACTGAAGCTGTTTTTATTTTCTTCCAAATAACACAGACATTTGCTAATATCATCTAGCAATCATTAAGCTGTAGACGTTCTGCAACTAGCTAGTTTAAGGTACGTAAGGCAAGATTAAGGTAAGATACTGTAAGATGCCCGACCGTGGAGATTTTGATTTTCAAAAACGTCAAACCTATTTGCTGATCTGACTGCGCATCTATCATCACAACTTCCACGGTATTGGCTGTTTCATGAGTTACGATACCAAATGTCTGATAATAATAGAGTTCATGATAAAACATACTCTGAGGAACAACTAAAAGAAGTTGAATGATTGAAGCAAATGGGGAAGCAAACTGGCCATCCAAATAGTAACCAACAGCAACCAAAATCACCTGTACTGCAGACTTTAACATTAGTCATTACATTTGCAAGGGAACTTCACAAATGAAACATTTATGGCACTATAGCGATTCCTAAGCAAGTTGTAAATAATGCGCCTTCAAAATGTCATCACGATCACGTGGAAGAATATCATCTCCTAAAACGAACCAGCTTTCACCCTGCTCGGCACACCAACATTCAAGATTCGATGCGAATATGCCTCAATTCTGCCTCAATTCTCAACAAATAAGGATCCATCTCATGGTTTTCTGAAAGCCCTGTTCTAAGAGCCGTCAACAATGGGATTTATCTGAGCTAACGGAGACATCTCGCACAGCTGACTTAGCTCCATGGTGTTGAAAATTAAAGTTTTTTTTTCATCTGAAAAATCTGAACTTAAACACAACGACTTCGTTACTTCAGATAAACTCCGCTGTAAAAAAGGATTATTATCAAGAACTATGATCAAAATTTTAGCTAACCAGGTCAGTCCTCTGACACGTGAAAAATCATTGTTGGTTATTACTCGGTTCTCTCAGAAAAATAGACGAAATGCTTGGACATAAATGCTTAAAAGAATAAATGCTTGATAAGTGATTTTAAAAAAATCTTATACCTGAAGCCGAAGCTGCGAACTTTGCAACGGCGACTATTTCCCTTCCCCTTGAGCATATAATAACAGTTTAGATGGAGAATATGCTTGTTTTCAGAAGTCCAGTCAGCCAAAAGATTTAAAATAAAAAGTTTAAAATTTCAGTTTTCATTTTTTCCATTAAGTAAATATTAATAATGTACCGTAATACTAGATGAACTTGGTATGTTCAAAAACACTTGACAGAAATGTAATTTCTTTTTTTTTATTTTTTATTTATTATTTTTTTAAATCCCACGGCTATTCATTGCATTCGGTGAAGCTGGGAAAACTTGGCACTTCTAAGAAAGCAGCAGATGTACACAGCACTTGGGTGTCCACTCCATCCAAGCAGAACTACCATTGTTAAGTCGCCTAAAAACGCAGAAAAGCCGTTAACACTCTTCATGGTACATTTACACCTGCTTTACAAAAGATCTCGAGTGCTTACTTTTCTCTTAAGGTGGTAATTTCTGGCCGATTCGTTTACTCTTGGTTAACAAAACTGTTGCTGCGGTAAAGAAATTGCGACACAAACACTTTTTGGATTTTTAAGCAATTTTTAAGACTTGTTTTTAACTCGGGAAACGCACAGACACGAATAAAAGAAAAGTGTTCAAAAAGAATTACTGCTTCAAAATTTATCAGTTTATGAATAATGATGGGGGGGAGAAAAAAGACATGAGAAAAAATGCAGCAAGCTATGAACGGTATAGAGCAGTGATCAAGAGTTTTAGGGAAATATTTCTGGCGATGCGCAACTCCTATGTAATTACTTAATTTTATCCGTTATTTAATTACATGCAGTAAGAATACTGAATACAATCACTATAAAATACAAACTTTCACTTAAACTAAAACCTTTCGTAAATATCCACGTTTCCATTTTAAAAGTTTGCCTAGAAGTTAAACGTACAGTAAAAACATTTATTTTCCTTTTTTTCAATGTACGAGTTTAATATCTTGAATTCTACAAGTAAGATAAATAAATGATCTAAGTATCATACTTAGAGGTAAAAATCAAGCGAATATGTTTTCGCTTGTGTGAAAGTTACGGGACACGTAACAAATTAGCAGAACATATTTTGATTTACGCTACACAGATAAGACGGGTGCGGTTTCCGAAACAGCAGATGTCATGAAATATTCGATCTAATATGATAACTAACTCCACATAAAATTCAGTATTCTCTTATTTGTTTTTGATGACAAAAATCGATTTCTAAAAAGCTTTTCAGTAACGTATCTATAATTTTATCATTTTGAAAAGCCCTACATTTTAGAATTAAAGTACATTCAACGCAACGCGCATTAAAATTCATCAATATATGCACATCATGCATGATTAGATATTTAAACTCTGTCTTTATGCATAAAAAGAAATCACCAGCTGCAATAAATTTAAGTGCATCAGTAACAAAAAAGGAAACAGCAGTTAATTCCAAGTAACAGCTTGTATGTAAAGTTAAACGACACAGGCTAAGGTAAAAACATTTTAAAAAAACTTTCTTCCAACATACATAAGGTATGGCCAATAGGTTAATTTACTGCATCAGAAAATAACATTAGTCCAAGCCACAACCCACTTGCTAAAACAATGCAATTATGCCCTCTTCTCCTGGCATTCCTTGAACCTAATTTTCTCTCTGCAATACCAGTATAAATCATAGCACCTCAGTCAGCGCTCTTGCAGCATCTCGTCGTGGACTGGGAGCATACAGATTAGGATGCTATGCAAAGCCGGTGGAATAGCTGTCCAGCTCATGGCGAAAAGAAAGTCGGTTGGCACTACAGAAGCCCAAAGTACTACGTATATGAGCGGCAGTGATTCTTTCTATCAAGTTGATAAGATTCCAATTCTCTCCTTAAAATTTGATGTCATCCCAAAGAAGATATTGAAGAGCATAAGAACCGTCCTCTGCGAAAGGCAATGAATGAGTCTCGATGGTACAATCTACCGTCTTGAATGTTTAGCGCATTCTGTACAAGCGTTTAAACATGTAATGATATTCCATCCTTCAGAAAAATGAAGAGGTCAAATACCTTCAAGGTCCCCCAATTCATTTTAAAATCCCATTAGAGGTATGTTTGAAATCTTTTTGGTTTTCTAAATAAACTTTTAAATCAAAGAAATCATACTAGCATTTCTACCTAAGTTCAGAGGAGGGTGAGAAATCAAGTGGATCGAAGGTAATGATTGTTTTACAGTAAATGTAGGGTTAGGTTATTTGCATATGACAAAGCACGAGGGCCGTCTGCGTAAAAGGAGAGATGCCTTCGAAGAACACTACGGAAAGCACCCAAGAAGCCAACCCATTCGGAAAGACTTCGGGAGAGGGAGGGGGATAAAAACATTTTATTCTGCAATCTATTTCTAAAATTAAGAAATAGTTAAAATGACATTTAAATCAGCACCCACCCACTCACCAAAAAAAAAAAAAAAAAAAGCAGCAGCGAGGTTGTTTAGAGTTTAGAGTACAGAATTCACTCAAAATAGCGAATTCGTAAAAAATCTTTTTAAAATATCTGAGCGGTTTTGTAGAAATAGCAGCTTACAACGGATGACACCAAAGGAAGAAGATACGCGAATGGTAAAGTCAACGCTTACAGCAGCTAATCCTCAAACATCAACATTTTTTAACCTAATTCATAATCGGATTGCCGGTATTTATTTTTACACGAGATAGAAGCGAAGCAGATGTTGAAGATAAACATGCTTTTCGCGCTTGCTTCCATTTTAGCTTTTTGTTGACAAGATTAAGTATGGGTTTTATTGGATTTGACTACTGTGGTGAACGAAGGATTTAAAACTATTGATGACTTGTGTTTTTCAATGATAAGGTTAGTTACGAATATCGATCAACACGTAAGAACGCTTTCCTGATAAATACGTTTGCCAATACTGGATATTTAGCGCCAAGGACTTTATCACGCTGTCAAAACAATATAAATATTGAGTAAGTTCTGAAAATTAACGTTGGGAAAACTAGTATGCCATATTACTCGTATTTATCCAAATATTTTTTAGCTTTAAGAACTTACTTTAAAACAAGCGCATTATTGGTCACTATAATTGTTGTTATCTATGAACTATTAAACATGAAAGCTAATAACCAATTCCCTCGAAGTTATTTAATCGAAATTATGTTTATCTATGTATAAACATGGGTTTGAATTACGCAGTTCTATTTACCTGGAGATATTTTTTAGGTACTAAAATAATCATTTGAAATTTATAGCAGTTTGATGGAAAAGGGACCAATCAAGCAAACCTCGTAACTTACAAACAGGTAAAGAAACATTAATAGGCATGTCGTGAATAGCATGTAAAATGTACGTAGATAGAGTAGCCTATTTCATCATTTAAAAAAAAAAAAAAACTACCACAATATCGGAACAAATCCGTTATGCACATGCAGACTCCATGGTACAACCAACAATAGAAAGAAATATAAACGCATTTAAAGGTAAATCATATCTGCAAACAATTAACTATAGTGAATACTGCGCTGTTCTTATAATTTCATAGTCAACATTTTGCAGCTAGTATTTCAAAAATGAATGCTAAAACGAGATGATTATATTTAAATATTTTATTAGTATATGATAAGAGCAAAAGTTATTTAAATTTTATTTTTATTATGTTTATAAGAATGGCAGAAGCACTAGCAGCACATATTTCTACATTAGTTTGTTGTCTTCATGCAGATGTTTGAATATTACTACACTGTTAATTAATTATTAATTAACAGTGTAGTAATATTAATTAACAGTGTTAATTATTAATTAACAGTGTAGCATATTAACTACACTGTTAATTAATTGTTAATTAACTACACTATTATAACACATTATTATTACTAATTACTACTATTATTAACTATACTGTTTAAACTACACTGTTTATAACACTATTAACTATTATTTAATTACCTATTAACTACACTGTTTATAACACAGAAAATTAAAATACTTCATTCCGCACCAAGACCAACTTCTATAAAATCTTTCTAAACGATTTTCAACGCGTCAGAATCTTTCAAAAATTATTTAATTTGTCAGTTCTTTTGAAGGCATTTTGATTAACACTGCATAATTATCCAAACTCGGCTCCCTTTCTTTGCAAATTGATTGTTCATCTTATATTATTTTTCTTTTGTATTTGATACAAATTCAGGTCTTTCCCAGGTTTCACAATATTATTCTTTACTTCTGCGAAATGAGTTCGGAAACCAAAAAATCCTATATATGATGCAAAATATCTCTTCCTATTGCTTGCCGGAAATTGCTGTGATCACATGCATCTTCAACAACATTTCTATTGACTTTCAAAAGTTCAATTAAATTCGGTACATTTCCTCACGTTGTAGCTTTTACGACTTGCGAAGAACGTCGGCGCAAATAATGTGCTTTTTACCCTGTCTCATTGGCTGAATTAAATGTAAGGTGTTTAGAAGGAGAAGACATGACCTATTTAAATCAAACTTAAATCATAAAGGTCACTCAGATGAATACATAGAACTATCAGAAATGCATAAAACTTTGGAATCTGAAATAATTTCTACACTTACAAGGTTATCTTCAAATAAAACTTCTGCGATCCATGCTTTCTTATTGCACAAGATTAAGAAAATAAACATTTAATTTCCGATAACACTTTGAAACAGCTATCTTCGTATATTCGCTAAAAATACTCAAATAATGTACCCGAGAACACTTTGAAACAGCTATCCTCACACATTCGATAAAAATACTCCAGTAATGTAAATACTAATCCGTTTTTAAAAATAAAAAAAATAAAAAAAAAAACTAGGTGAGACTTGCTAAAAAAACTTCAATAATATCCCTGCCTTTACAATATCTATACCCACTTTTGCTTTTATCTCATTGTAAAGACTATATTGCTTTCATCTGAACTCAGTAGAATGTGTTTTTGATTTAAATCTTCAGTCCATACGGACAGTAACTGCTTTACGCTTACAATTTGACAACATGGAAAAGTTTACCATTTGAATGTTTCGAAAAAGATCTGAATATGAATCAGACAGATGTGAGAACAACTCAAAGGAATTGAATAGATATATCCTCCCCACCCGTTCTTACATTTACTTGATACATGTGAAAATGTTTTAATGCCTATAAGAAATGTTTCTGTTTACAGGCACGAATACTTGTACTGTTTGGCTACACGTTACAAAATTCTACTCCCTTGTTTTGCTCATAATATTCAGATCTCAAAATTTATTCAAACAAGGACATACATTGCAGAGTTTAGCTAGTAGTTAAGCAGCTTTGTACGTTGCAAACAAAAACAAATTGCAAATCTTCCTTTTTATGCATCGGTCACTAAAATTATTAAATCACTATCCCTAATAATTGACATGAGAGTGAGAACACCCAAAATTTAATTTTTTAAGATACTTTTCTCTCATAAAAATAAATTATCTGAGAAACTGAAAAATAACATATTCATATTAAAAAGGAAGAGATCATTATAGAAAAGGATTATAATATTAGAAGCTTCTAGAATACATAGTAAATAGGCAATAAAATCATTTAGTTCGGAATGAGTTGGTACTGAATACTCATACTGAATTGGTATTAATTCGTGTCATCAAATTACACCAAATAAATCCTCTCATACATCTTCGCTAATAACACTGTAATTGCCAGAAGTATGGGGGAACACACAAATTCCATTTATTGAATATTTTGAAACAAAATTGCTCCTTCAAAAACTCTGTTCATATAAAATTTGGCGCTCTGGGCTGGATCATTTGTTTGTGTGTTTATTGGGGAAGAGACGTTCCTGATAGCTTTCTATGGAACGTACACTTTCTGTCTCTTCACTTCAATTTCATAAATAAACTATTACATGCTGTAACATTCACAGCAAAATGCCACCAGCGGCCGAGATGTAAAATCACTGAACATTGATAATTTAATCTAATTTCAAATTAAGGCGAAAGGGGTGACTGCACGGGAGTTTTCGTGGTTTCCCCCCCCCCAAGTGTAACGTGGATACAAGCCCTTTTCCTTACGTAAATCCTCCATGTAGACATCCCTTCTCTTACACAGATAGCCCTGGTATGCTTCACTCTAATCCAGTTTAAACCAATACAATAAAAAATAAATAAATGAATATGCTACATATTACTACTTTAAAAGAAACGTATTCCTGATAGTATTTTCTAGGATTCATTCATTATTTACATATATAAGGAAATTCACGGAGATCTAAGATTTACGGATAACTAAATCCTTCCTTCACAAAAACAGAACATATGAAATTACAGACTTTCACCTCTTTTCAACCTTTCTATTTATAATAGGAACCTATGTGACTGATAACTCACGTGATTTATTCGATTCATGTGATTCACTCTTTTCACTTAGTTCATGTTTTGTATATTTAAAGTCTAGGTTTTTTGTTCATTTTGCCTTGCTTTTCTTATATTTGAATTGCGTTATTCGGCTTTCGCACGAATTCGAAAGGGAAATGTATATATTATGTTATTTTAATTTTAACAGGGACTCATATTCATATGTATTCTAAAAGAGAAAAATTTTGTAAACCTTTTATTGCTAGGTGGCGTACTATCATGTCGCTGCTAAATGCATCATGAAGTTTTACAGCGTCTTCTGCTTTTTAATCTTCTGCTGAAAGATCAAAAAAAGCTGTCAGAATAAATAATTTGGCAGGCTACTAATGATGGATAATAATGGATGACTAATGCGATGTTAGTATAACATAAGTTAACGAATTTGCTTGGCCTCTACTGGATTAGTTGAATATGGTATCTAGTGATTTTTACCTATAGGAAGGGAAGACTTCATAAAGGGCCTCCTAAAAGAACAACACAGTGCCGGTTTCGAATGCAAAGTCATTCCGTTTGTGAATGAAAATGTAAATCGTGCTGCAGCAAGGATGTCTGGTGTTGGTGAAAGATGGAACGGAAGAATGCTATTTATTTATGGATCAAAGTAATAATGATGGTGAAGATGAAACAGAATTTGATGATATGCCTAAAGATATAACGGAAGACGTATCTGAGGAACTTTTCATAAAGCAAAATTTTAAGTTTTATCAGGCATGTCATTTTTTAAAAAATAAATAACGTTTAAGTACATGTAAAAATATAATTTTTGTATGATGTTTTCTCCTTATTCTTAATCTATCATTTTACATCCGGCGTACAACGCGCATACGTAAATTATGATCTTATTTTTGTATTAAAAGTGCGCGTTATACGCCGAAATTATGCGGTAAATTAGTAACGTCAAGAAGATTGAGTCCGCATTTCGACAGCACTCTGGTGTTAACTTGTCTAATAAGCAAGGACCGTCAGTCTAGTGCAATAATGACCAGCCAACTGGTAACTACAAATAAATACTATAGAAATTTATAAAAAATAAATTGTTTAAAATCATGACACTAAAGTATGTAATTTTTAATTCGACACTTATAATACAATTATGTCAACCCACGTTCAAATGCCGGCGAATGCAGGATGATGGCATGAAAGCTTTCGAGGTTTTCCCCATGCGTAACGCGAATATGCATGAATTTAGCTTAGAAAGTCCTCCCCTTAATCACCGTGCGCTTTTAATATTTCTGAACATCACTGTTGAGCCGCATTAAAGAATGCATCGATATTCAAGCATACACTTTTTTGTTATTTAGCATAATGAATAAAACACGTTTATTTAAACAGTTACATTTCATTATATTTACAGAAAATACAAAAACAATTCACAGGTCAAAAGGAAAAAGTTCTTATACATAAAATGAACGTAATTTTGGACACATAACTAATCTGGAGTCGGTAATTTTTTGCAATAACAAAATCCGATTCCATTACCTGTCACCGAAAACTGGTATACCTCATCTACTGTAAAAATTCTTGGATAAATTCTGCTGCGATTGAATTGTTGAAAAGACAGATAAAAACCATTCAGGATCATAATTCGACTACCTTCATTTTACCTCTTTAACGCACGCTATGGTTTTGTAGGAATTCTTTTTTACTTTTCATTTGGTCTGCAGTTCACTAACGTATATCAAAAGCTGCTTAAATCAAATTTTCCATGACACTTTGTAAATCTGCAACCGATACTGTTGGCAGGATTCGTATGGTTTTTGATGATGGTATTTTTAATCGGATAACTATTTTTGAATGGCATTCGCATTTCAAGATCCATATAGTTAATGACGAGTATTCGATTTGACCAAGCGTGAGAAAAAAACGGCAGGAAAAGTTAGGCAAAATTCGAAAACACATACAGGAAGATCATCGTCTAACAATACATAAATGCTATGATGATTCCAGAGATAACAATAAAAAATTTGAGCCTGAGCCACAACACACTCTATTGAACCATTTCCCTGTGATTTTCCTTTTTTTTTCCACTCCAGATTGCAAGTAAATCCGAATAACCACTTTTTTCACTAGACTGGAGAGGAAGGGAGCACTTCCGAGTTGAATCCGACATTCCTGGCCCTCAACAGCCCAAAAGAAAAAGACATGCACACTGCATTTTCAGACTTGAAAAAACTGGTAGGATCATTACATCCATTCACATGGAAGCTATGTTAAAGGTGATGGACAGCCAAAACAGAATAAGCAAAGTAGAGCATTTATTTTTTCAGCCAGTGCAGCAACTTTCCGAAAGCCTTAGTACAGATATATTTCATTCCTGATGCACTGTCAGTAACGGAATCAGAAATACTGATTTGCTTTTGTTATTTCATCAGACACTGCTCTGACGTGCGCAGGGCTGGTTATGACATCTTAACTGTAAGATATTACAGGTATTTTCCCCGTACGCCCTTCTGCTGTAGTTGTTAATACATTGAGCTTGCAAATGGAAATTCTCTAGCTTCGATTGCCGGAGAAGGGACCGTTGGTTTTTCAAGATTCCTCTTCACAAAAAACCTACAATGTAGTCTTCTTCTTCTTCTTCTTTTTTTTTTTTTTTTTTTTTTTTAACGTAGCAGATATTTCAGATCATCGGTGAAGAAACTCATTTAAATTCTATATGAGGATTCATAAAAAAAAAAAGCTGGACTAATGTAAAACGATTTCTTCCAGCACTCCATTCCACAAGAATCAGCATCTGCAAAAGACATAAGATTTATATATTTCACGAATTCAAAAGAAGATGCATGCAGGCTATTAATGAATAAAACACGGTGAAAGCTATAAAATATACGAAAAAAGAAACATTTTAAGAATATTGATAAAAATTACTGAAGCTCGTATTCTTCATGCTAACTGCAGAAGAAAACCAACGGTACCTAGAAGTTAAGCTCAGCTGATATGCAACTACTGGACAACCTACCTTTTCTGCACATATCCGATAGGATTTTAAACTCCTCATTAAAAATAGTATAATTAATTTTTAAAGAATTTTAGACTAATTTCGAAAGTTATTTTTTAATTAAAGATTTAAAACTGTAATTAGGAAATTGGATAAAATATCTGAGTATCAAAGATAAATAGGCTTTTGAAAACTAATAATCTTAAAACTAATATAGAAGGAATTATTATTATTATTATTATGGAACGTTATGCAGCTCTTACTGTGACAGAAAATATTATTAGAATATATTCCAAAAATGTTAAAACTGGGAAAGCATAAACTGAAAAATTAGGGATGATATATGCTTTTGTTTATTTAAATAAGCGATTAGGAAGTCATAATTAAAACAAACAATTATAATTACAAAAATTATTAACTTACCTCAAAAACGTGTCTTTGACCGAGGTCTCACCACAGCTGTTCTTCATGTTTCCAAATGATTGCCTTTCATGTTAGGAGATAAAACAAGCAATAGTTCGTTACAATTGTTTTTATAAACTTTAGAAATAAAAACTAAATTTCAAATATCAGATGCATTTCTGAACGCAGAATATACGTATTTCTATAAATAAATAAGCGTGCTTGCATCTATAAATTGCTGCATCACTGATTTCTTTCAAAACTTCTAAAGTATTTGTAGAGACCCGCTACATAGATATTCATGAGAAAATCGAGTGGTGGCGCCCTCTATTGACTAGAATTGGAAGAGTCGTAGTTTCCATCCAAGAGTTTGGAACTACAGACCTTCAAGTTAAAAGGCGAGTACTACAGCGACTGGGCTAAAAGCACGCCCCGATTGTAGGCGTTAATTTTGTAATATATTTCCAGTGAGCCTCGTGAGTTCGTATTATTTTCGTAAATAAAGCACATTAAGTAAACTGATTTCATCTCAACGTAAAGTGAAACTAAATATGAGGAGCAAGAAGAAATACGCACTCAGTCACTTATTATTAATGACCATGTACTATTTATCTGCATCGAAAATGATTTTAGATTACATGCACTGAAACAACATACAAAGTTATCGATTACAAGGTTATCTGCAAAAAGTGGTGAGGAAGAGAATTCTCAAGCAATCAACCCGTTCGCCAATTTTCGAATTAGTGTCGGATAGATCAGGTTATCTGAAATATGGCAAAGTCACAAGGGCTATCTGCCTAAGGGGATGGATACCTTAATGGAGGACTTTCTGAGGAAACTCACCCGTATTCAGGTTAGACATGAGAAAAACCACAAAAACCAACCATGCAGCCAGCAGTTTTGCCAGGGATCGAACCCAAACCAGGTCAAACTATCAGTATTCAGTGGTCTCAACCACTCGCCCAGTGGTGAATACTAAAGGCAGACTAATTTGAGTTTTTCCTAATATATATCACTGACGATCTATCACAGTGCCATGTGAAGCTGCCCTTAATTGCTCCAGAAGAAAACAGGAAGAGAACGAACAGTGCAAGAAGAAAGCATAAAAAAATAAACAACTTTTATAATTATAAAAAAGTAACGAGTAATTATTAATTAATTGATAATTATAAATGTATATGTACATAATAAATCAGATGAAACTAGCCCTAATTCTCAGCCCTCAAAAATTATCTTCCGATCCGCTCGCGACGCACATTTTTCAGAAACCCTGGTCTCTTAAATCCATTAAATGTGGTATTGTACAAAGCTGCAAATAAAATACGCAAGATTAATAGATAGAAAGTCAAAAGGTTAGGTGCTTACAACAAAAATTAGGGAATTAAAAGAAAAAATATTAGTTACAACGTCCTTTTCAATAAGCATACACTTGACAGCTTCAGTGCTAAAAGCGATTACCAGGCACTGGACACTTTAAACAACCGTTAACACAAATTATAGTTTAGACGATTAAAATAAATTAAACAGAAAAGGTTCATCTGACATAGTTCACCCTTCGAGAACAGGAAAACGATATAACGCAATCCTCTTGCGCGTAAAACAGACTTTTTTTTTTTTTTTTTTTTTTCCGGGGGCGGGGTCTCCTTTTAACTAAATTCTACTTTTTTTTCGATATCTCATTGATTATTGGCACTTTCTCAGAGAATAATCTTCTATTTAAAAAAAGAAAAAAAAACTCAAAATTATTTTTACATATATCTATTCTGTACAATTCAAAGCATTTTTCACAACTTACTTTATGTTTTATTTCCCCTTTAACTTGTTCTAAATGTATAGTAAACGTAAAAAATGTATAGAAAAAAAGAAAAAACACTTATGTAGAGGGGGATTCAATTTATGCCCCAAAACGTTTTGAAGCAAGAAAACTCAGCAAACGAATAATGATGAAGCTGGAAATGGCTATAACCTCTGTCACCACTGTCACTACGTTAACAGTTATTATCGCAACGGTATAGAATACACTGCAAAAAATTTAGAGGAAAGTTAATTTTTTTCAGTTTTAGTTTTACTTTCAGTTCAGTGTAAATACCATACCTACTGTTCAATAATTAATCACAGTAGAACTTTGCTAGCGGATCTTGCTTTACTTCCCAGAGTTTGAAATTCAGATGAAAAGACTATGTTCCAAAGTTCAAAACAAAAAATTGAACGCTTTTAGCTCAAAACTATTACTTAACTAAATTCAAACTATTCATACAAACGCTCGGAAAGGAATTTTCTTTCTAAGAGAAGTTTTTATGATTTCATTCATAAATTTGAAATACCCTTTTGGATAACGACTTTTAAAAGTGATAGAATTCAACATTTATTATATTGAGCATCTTGTACTATAAAAATACGTGATTGCCTTCTAGAAATTACAAAATGCTATAGTATAACCTTTTTCATTGTTTTTTAAGAATAACTCCAGTGCGGTGTTTATCATGGGAGGGGCACCTTGTATATGCTTTGAGCAATAAGAACCTTTGCTGTTTCTTAACATGATCTGGAACGGCAGGAAGAGAAAGAGAAGAAAGAAATTTCTAAACCTTAGAACAGGGGTTCTCAACCAGGGGAAAATTTCATAGTTCCAGGGGGGGGGAACATCAGCCTTTAATTCAGCTGTTCAGTATTTAGTTTAAGAATATTAAAAAGAAAAAAAAAAAAAAGACCACTTTTATTCAAGCTTTGGTATTTCAACATTTTCTATACGTTTTGTTGTTTAACTAATAAAACAAATAACAAAAAATTTATATCTAAATAAATGTACATGCATTTTACAAATTTTAAAAAGAAGGGGGTAATGAACTTCTCACAGTGGTGAAAGGGGTGCATACAGTAAAAAAAGTTGAGAACCTCTGTCTTACAGTACACATAATAGCGGGTAGAACATTACATTCCAAATTGCCGAATCAGGATAATCAAACAAAATGCTCTTCAGAAAACGTAAAAAAAAATAAATAACCATTACTCTAAAAAAATAAACTTCTCATGTGCGGAAAAGAAAAGGCTATCCTCTGCAAACAGTCAAGAGGGGGGGGGAGTCATCTCTTAAGAAATAGGAGCAAATTGTTTCAAAATCTCTATCATCTTTTTATCATTACCAGTGCAGGCTTCACAAGCATTCACAGTGTGCGGAAGATCATTTGGTATTAACGCTGGATGCTCTTTTACATCAATTATTCATGCTTTGGGGAAAGTGGTCCGCTATTTGTCTGGGGGGGGGTGCCTTCCACTCTTTTTTTGAGTTCTTCAAGTCGCTGTTGTGCCATCATTGTCTTGTCATTGCAGGTTGAAAAAACCTCTTCCAGTTTGGAGGGGGGGGGGGGAATTCGCATTTCGTTGAAGAAGTCATGTTTTCTAAGGCGAATAAATATGGAAATTTTGTCCTTTCATAACGTAAAAACACAGACTGAAAACAAGGTAAAGAGAAGCTGGTAAAAGGGGGAAAAAAGAAAAGGCGAATCCATATTTCACTGTCAACGTGGTGGAAGGTAAATATCCTCGTCTACAACAGAATGCTAATCTTTACCCTCCCTATCAAAGAAGTTTAAACGGGTTTAGGTAGACAATAGCAAAGAGAGAAGACCTTCAGTTGAGTTCAGTAATTAACAGACTTTAAAAAAAAAAAAAATCCCCCCCTTTTTTTGCAACTAACGTGTTTCACATTCTTAACGTGATATTTTGAATTCAAAACTATCAAACTGCAATAAATCTCAACACTTTCTCTTTGTTGTTTTCAACTAATAACCATAATTAAAAGAAAACAAAAGTTAAATCCATAATTTAACATATATCACAAAGTACATGCACATAAAACGCTCGTACATGATTTCATTTGCGGCATAATCAGGTTCACGCATAATCAGGTTCACTGCAATACACAAGTTTTTCAGTGAGCACTTTGGTAGTATACGTTACCAAATTAAACCCTTACTTTCAAAAGTGTGCTGGCTCCATTGTGAAAGTTGCTTTACGTACTTAAGAATCATGCTGGCACCTTTATTGAGAATTTCTTTTTTTTTTAAATTTTTTTCACAAACTCATATTATAATAGTTAAAAACATTTTGCTCTTAAGTACATTTTTTTAATAAAAACAATGTATTAATATAAATAAAAATTTATGCTATAGATACTGCAACTCATCAAAATTATCAGTTATTTATTCAATAATGCACTTAAATTTATCCTCATTTTTAACTTAACGTTCAGGTAGAGAAATCCCCACCTCAAAAAAAAAAAAAAAAAAAAAAAAAAGAAGGGGGGGGGGGGGCGTAATGTTTAAGCATTTCAGAACAAAATATTTTTAACGAAGATCCTAGAAGGCCATGTGGGTTATAAAGCCAAGAAATTTCAACTAATGCGAATAAATGTTTTTTAACTGGTGTTTTTTGGATATATTAAAACGGTGACCGGATAAAAGTCCACCGCACGAAAGCGCACAAGACAAAGGCCACAAGAAAATTCTACTGCGATAATTGTCTACGCGACCCAAAAACCAACAGACATAAGCCCACACTGAAAGCCCATACAAATACAGTATATGTCATGTGGAAGATGATAATTTTCCCAGTATTTTCAGTTTATATAAATCAAATTCAGTAAATAATATAAATAAAATTTCAATTAAATTATATTAAATTAATGCTAACTAATTAAATAAAAATGTAAATAACAGAATATATTTCATTTTGGGGTGCGACTGCTTCCCCCTGTTCTTGCCGAAGATAGCTCGAACTTATTTAATGATACTTAACTTCAGTAAGTGGACTGTAATATTAACAATAACAAATTTATTTTAACAAAAACAACATTATTGAATACTAGCACACGCATGTGCTTATAGTTACCTATGTAACTTAGCTAAGAGCGAGCAACCATATGCTCTTACATCAAGTCAGAAATCATTCATACTAATAAAGCAAAAACGAAATAACTTTAGGGTTACACTAAAGCCAAACTCTGCTTGGCGTAAAACAATGCTGCCAAGCAATACTCTTTCAGACACCGAACATCCCGCCCGGCGTTGAAATATTAATTTCAATACAATAGGTAAAATTCAAAAAAGTAATAAATGTTCATACAATACAAAATGATACAATGTAAATTAATGCACAAATTATCGAAGTCATTGTAATTACGAAGTCATTGTATCATTGTAATTACGAAGTCATTGTATCATTGTAATTACATGTAATACATGTAATTACAATGTGAAAAGAACAAATATGATGGATTACAATTCAAACCTTCAAATAAACATAAAAATTCGTACATTATTTCTCAATTGGCAGTACAGCAATTTTAGTAACTGCTCGTTTATAAATACCATTTTTGGTTTTGACAGAGACAACTCGCACAAGGTTGTCCTTCCCATAAACACATCTACAATTCTCCCTAACAACCATTTGAAGG